GAGAGGGAGGCGACACACCCGTTGCTGCCTGCAGCTCCCCAGCAAACACGCCACGTGCTGCTGCCTCGCCCCTCACAAGCACGGGGCTCCTTGCAGGCAGCTTCCCGGCAGCACTCGCACCCCACCTGGGCGCGTGCCGACGGGCCCGCAGCCCTGTCGGAGGGAACGAATGACGTTTCACTTCCGGGTTGAAAGTCACCGGGAAAGGAAGGCGCGGATTGGTGGCTTGTGAGGGGACGGTTGCTAAGCAACCGCATCAGGGCCCTCGCCCCTCACAAGCACGGGGCTCCTTGCAGGCAGCTTCCCGGCAGCACTCGCACCCCACCTGGGCGCGTGCCGACGGGCCCGCAGCCCTGTCGGAGGGAACGAATGACGTTTCACTTCCGGGTTGAAAGTCACCGGGAAAGGAAGGCGCGGATTGGTGGCTTGTGAGGGGACGGTTGCTAAGCAACCGCATCAGGGCCGAGCCTGCGCTTGGAAGCGGCGCCCCGTAGCTCGGCCCTTTGAAGTGGCGGCTGCTGCCCGGAAGGTGGAGCCCGCCCGGCGTGTGGGGTTGGGGCAGGGTACGTGCAGGTTGCAGCCTTTGCCCCCCGGGCCATGTGGGGGGGTGCCTGAGGGAGCGTCCCAGCAGGAGGAGCTGCTCTGCGATGGAGGGTGTGTGTGTGGCGCTGCTGCTGCTGGCCCTCCGGGTCACAGTGCACAGTAGGTATCTGACCTTGCTCGACCGCAGCTGTCCCTTCCTGAGAGCAGGGGCCAGCAAGCGCCTTAGTCACGTGCGAAACGAAACAGGCACTTCCACAAGACCGGTGGGCTTCGGTGCCTCGGCCTAGGGTGCCCAATTTAAGGCACCCCTCAAGGGTTTGATTTCTTTCAAAATGGAAAAAATCAAGCCCCTTCTTCTCCCCAGCTGGGCACCTACAATCACTTCGGAAATTTTCCAGTTCTGAGTTTGAACATACACATCGTGCCTGGTTAACTGTCTGGTTCTCCAGCGCTGGAACTGTGGCTTCTCCCCTGTGTCATCATTACTGGTCATTAAAATGTGTGACTCTAATCGTTTAAGATCATTTCACTGTCATCACTTTACTAGAAATAACAACCCACCAAGAATTATGCCACCTTCAGAATTTATCCCACCAAAATTTTTACAGCCACTGCAAAACAATAAAATGACAGTTGTGGCCACAGAGGGTATTATAATCTTGCATTACCATATTACACACAAACCAACTGAATCATCTGTTATAGCTGCTTCCCTCTGGGACATTTGACTTCAGAAATCAACCTGACATTAGGGGGCAACACAAGACGGCTACGTCTACACTGGCGTGATTTTCCGGAAATGCTTTTAACAGAAAAATTTTCCGTTAAAAGCATTTTCGGAACAGCGTGTCTAGATTGGCAGGATGCTTTTCTGCAAAAGCACTTTTTGCAGAAAAGCATCCATGGCCAATCTAGACGGGCTCTTCCACAAAAAAGCCCCGATCGCCATTTTCGCAATCGGGGCTTTTTTGCAGAAAACAAATCTCTGCTGTCTACACTGGCCCTTTTGCGCAAAAGTTTTTCGGAAAAAGACTTTTGCCCGAACGGGAGCAGCATAGTATTTCCGCAAAAGCACTGACAATCTTACATGAGATCGTCAGTGCTTTTGCGGAAATTCAAGCGGCCAGTGTAGACAGCTGGCAAGTTTTTCCTCAAAAGCAGATGATTTTGCAGAAAAACTTGCCAGTCTAGACACAGCCGACATGTACAACAATTACCCTCTTTGCGTTGCATTGTTTCAGGTTGTAGGTCACAAATTAGTTTGAGCAATCTCAAATTCGATTTTGGTGTTAGAGCGAGGATTTTATTTTGAGTGTCTGGGCACGTTGGACCCAACTTTTAGATTTTAAAATAGATTTTTATCATGATCTAAGACTGAGAATTGTTTAATTGAAAACACACAACTCCAAACTTGAATACACACACACGCATTTGCACCCAAACATTGCAGTATTGTATTAGTGCATGAGACAAAATATGAGTAGAAAGTGTATGAAAAAAATTAAACTTTAAACTTTCTAAGCTGAGAGAAATGAGAGAGGAAAAAACCATTAAGCAGGGCAAGTTATATAATATTGGAGTAGTTTAAAAATATTTTAGCCTGTTTGTATTATTATCATAAGGAAATGTGTTTTTAGAATATTGAATTTAACCTCTAACACTGAAAGAATTTTGAAAAATGTAGTTTAGCCATAATAATCTGTATATAAATAGCGCTTGTTCTTTCCCATTTCCCAGCTTGCATGCAATAGATACAGGAAAGTGAAACATATAGTTGATAGTTCATTTCAGATCAGTTTCACTTTCTAGTTCCTGTACTTAACTGTGCTGCTTAAGTT